AACCCTCAGTGTTGCCCCCGTACCGGACCGGGGACCGGCAACGGGATTGCAACCCTCGATGTTGCTCCCGCGCCTTGCTCAGCCAGTGAGCAGGAACCAGCCTGTATGTGGGATCCGAACCCTCGGGCGGGAGCGCCGCCGCGCTTCCCAAGCGGCGCACTTATCCAGTGCGCCACCGGGCTGGCCCCGTATTTTTGAAATTTTGAAGATAACATTTGATGAGAAAAAAAATTCCTTTGGAAAACATAATCTTATGTAATTGATCATATATGAGTTCTTTCCCTATCGGGTAAATTATTTTGCATGTAAATTTCATCTTTTATTTTAAACCTTACATGCTCCATTTTATACAGTTTCTTAAAGAAATCTTCCTGTTGCTTATGAACCATAGGAATTTTTATCAGATCTTTAAGCAAGTTATATTGTTAAGAGTCATGGAGATATTACTTAGAAAAATAACAAATATTACCCTTTTCTGTTGTCATTTTCTTCTGTCACTGCCAAGAAGTTATTCTTAGAGTAATGGCTTCAATTTAGATAATCACAAATAAACATTTATACTTTACACTTTGATCAAATCTTGGATTGGTGAGGGATTTTTTTCTAAGGACTCAGAAGGAATTTTGATTGTAAAAGAAAACTTTACCTATTTGGGTAAAGGGATATGAGTTGCAGCATTGTTTTTAGCAATGAAAAACAGGAAAAAACTTAAATGTCCTTCTATGGGATACTAGCTAAATAAATTATAGCATATCCATACAGTGTGTTTTAAAAGGATACACAGCTCAAACATATGCTAATTCATAATGGTCTACAAGATATATTGACAAATAAAAAGAGTAGTGATGTATACATACAAGTTTGATCATACTTAGTCTATCTCTAGAGGAATGTATAGGAAACTGGTAACTGGTTGCCCCTGGGAAAGAGAATTGATGATTGGGATGGGAGGGTGAGATTTATTTTTCACTGTATACTTTTATGCTGTTTACTTTTTTTAAAGCTGTGTACATGTATTACTTTCAAACAAATCCCTGTTTTTAAAAAAGAAAACAAACTTCTTGTTTTGACTTCTCTAATAGGAGTGATCAACACAGGAATTGCCCTATTTGTCGCCTACAGATGACTGGAGCAAATGAATCTTGGGTGGTATCAGATGCACCCACTGAAGATGATATGGCTAACTATATTCTTAACATGGCTGATGATGCAGGCCAGCCCCATAGGCCATGACCTTGGGGTGAAGGTTTTCTGTGGCTATTAGGGGCTACAAATACTTTGGTCATAGGGGAAGAATGAAGGAGTATTATGGCACAGACACAGAAAAATCAATTTTCCACATCCTCTTATTTTTGCTTTTCTGACAACTTACCCATTTTGAAAATAAAATTTCCATGTCTTCCGTTTATGATATACTAAAATTTGCTACTGTTTTAGATCACGTTTTCCTATTACTTATCTGTTCTAATGTGTATTAGAACTAATTGCTCTTGAATCCTTTGCTAAGGTAATGGCAACATTTCCAGAGACTTGTGAAACACTATTGTTTTGCAGGGCAGGAGAATTCTGGAATTTTTTTAGTTAGGTTTAAAATAAACCTTGAATGTTAAAAAGTTATAGCCATCTGAGAGAGAAAATTTTAAGTGACTAAAAATGTAGAATACATCAAAGTGCATGTTACTACTTAAAACTAGTCTTTCTACTGGAACCTAAGGAGTATGTATGCCCCCTTGTGATTAATTATTGCTCCTTTAATAATTTGTACTTGAAGTGATCCATAATTATTTCATCACTTTAGCAAAGTGTTTTACAACTACATGTTTTT